CAACCTGATCTAAACACAGCCTCATTGAGACTATTCCCTGGTGACTCTGGATTTTGTCAAGTTGACAATTTAATCATCACACAATTGAACTTCATTTTCTAGGTCTACAATTCTTCAGACACATTGTTTATATCTCTGTAAGTTAAACATTATTCTCTCCGTGTGCAGTGCAGCATATGCACACACACACACACACACACACACACACACACACACACACACACACAGCATGCCTGGATTACAGATTTGGCCCCACCCTTCCTTCTTCATGGAAACTCAGGTCCAATATTATCTCCTGAGCCAACCCCAACCCCTATTACAGGACTTTCAAGATCAAGATTAGCAGGTCCCTGGCCTGTTCTCTGATGTGATCTGTAGATCGTTACAGGTTCTGAGATCTGAAGATCTAGAGAACTATGACCATCTAAGCAATCATGTGACCAGGGTTTATCTATTTCCTTTTCCTGTAATACTCCACACCAGCAGTTAGAATGTCTGTCACTCACAGGCAATTTTCTTTAGAATTTATAATCTTGGTGAATGGGAGAGACAAGGGATTATTTTAAAAGGTCAATTTGCAAAGTAGAAAGGAACTAAAGTAGGGTCGTGTATACAAGGTTGCATTGCTGTTATGCAAGTTATACAGGTGATAGACACAAGTTAGTTGTCCAAATCTGATATGTTGGTTTTGCTTGTTGTCTTATTATATTTTATTTTATTATTATCCCTTAGAATCCTGTTTGTTTTCTAATGAGAAACACATGGGAGGGGGTGTGGGGAGGAATTGAGAGTAGTAGAAGGAGCAGAAACTTTTTATCAGGGTATATTGTATAAAAATCCATTCTTAATAAAAGAAAAATGGTGAGGTTATGGTGGGATACAACTTTAATCTCAGCACTTGGGAGAGTGGGCAGACCAATCTGTCAGTTAGAGGCTAGCCTGGACTACATAGCAAGTTCCAGGACATCCACGGCTATATAGTGAGACCCTGTTTCAAAACAATAAAGAAAAGAAGATGGAGAATTGGAGGGTAGTGAGGTGGGAGAGGGAAATGGGAGGAGGTAGGAGAAGAGTGCAGCTGGATAGGATCAAAGCACATTGGATAAAGTTTCAAATAATTTATTCTTTTCATTTGGGTGTGTGGTGCATGCACAGGAGTGTGCAGCTGTGTGCTCTACATGCACACCCAGAGATCAGAAGACCTCATGTCTCCTCTGCTATTGTTTTCTGTCTTACTGCCTTGAGACAGGGTCTCTCGCTGAACTAGAAGCTCACCCTTTGAGCTAGTCTGACTGGCCATCAAGCTTTCAGGGTTCTCCTGTCTCTACCTCACTGTACAATGTTGTGGTTACAAGCCCATGCAGTCATTTCTGGCTTTGTATGTAGGTGCTGGGGATCCCAGCTCAGGTCCCTATGCTCGGGCATCAAGCACTCTTACATAATGAGCCATATTTCCAGATCAAATGAAATTTCTACATTGGATAAATTAATGATTTCTTTGTTTTCAGCAAAGAAGAGCCAGTTGACTAAATTGTCCTACTGTAGGGGTGGCCCATATATGGTCACCCCAAATCTCTAGACATCCTTCCTTATATCTTTGCTTAGTTGGTAAATTTCTGAGAGACTGTAAAATGGCTACTTTTAATTGTCAACTTGACATAATCTAGAAATACCTGAGATGAGAGTCTTAAGGACATCTTTATCAGGCTTACCTGTGGGTGTATCTATGAGGATTGTCCAGATTACAAGCATTAATCAACGAGGGAAGATCCAGTCCACTGTGAGTGGCACCATTCCCTACATGTTGAGTAACCATGCATATGTTCATTCTCTTTCTGATCTTGACTATGGATGTGACTAGCTACTTCAATTTCCCATTTCTGTATCTTCCCTACAACGATGGACTGCAACCAGGAACTGTAAGCTGAATAACCCTCCCTTTCCATAAACATCCCTTTCTTGGGGTATTTTGTCACAGCAACAGAAATAAAACCAGAACAGGTTGCACAGCAGAGATGTAATGGAAGGTTAACTATTGACAAGGATTGGGAGTCAAGTCACTGCTAAAGAAATTTTTTTTCTTGCAGCTAGGTTACTAACACTAATGATTACTGGGCACAGGGAAGCTGCTCTCAAGACTCTTCGTCCTCTTGGGTTGAGTTGTCCAGCCTCAATATGAAGGCTTGTGCCTTGTATTATTGTATCTGGTTTTGTCCTGTTTGGTTGTGTTCTCTTGGAGGCCTGATCTTTTCTGAAGAGGAAACTGAAGAAGAGTTGACCGGGGGAGAAGGGCTATGAGGGGAGCTGGGTGGACTGAAGGGAAGATAAACTGTGGTCGGGTTGTATTGTATGATAGAAGAATCTATTTTCAAAAAAATTTTTTTAAATGTGTAGGATTTGCCTATGAAGCCCAACAAAGACGAGCATGGCATGATAACACCAAGAGAGCAGTAGTGGCATTAATTCCTTGCCAACAACCAACAGCTTTCTGATTGGACTTGAGACCCCTCCAAAAGAGAGGGAAACCTATACAACGACCCAGGGCTTGTGACTTCATACATCTGGGAGGAAAATCTACAACCCCAACTCCACCAGACCATCATGATCCCTAACTGCACTCTCATCATCTGTTCTTACATCCACAGGCAAGTGCAGTTCTCACAACTTATCAAGGGAAGATCTCAATGAAATAGACACTGACCATTAAAGAAGCCACACCAACAAAAAAGCAGAGTTGTGAAGCCCAGTTCCAATGGACACATTGACAGCATAAAACCTAGAGTTAATGCTCAGGGAACATTGTGGGAAAAGGCCATTAATATTGTATGAGCCAGAGGGACAGGGAGTTTGCTGTGAGGTTATGTCTCCTAGTGATGTCAGAAGTTATACCTTAAAGTCTCAACAACATGACCACCTAAACATGAGCTCAACAGGTACAAAATAAGAGACATGCCAAAGTGCATCAGGGAAAGATAATGAGATCTTAACCCTGAACAAAGTACTACAGGCAACTAATGAATACTGAGAGCATAAATGTCTTCTCCAGTACAGAGTTCACCAATTGGTTATCCATGATGAAATTGTCAGCCATGAAACTATACACACAAGAAACATCATACAGACTGGGCAGGTTATACTCAGGTATTTAGGTGAATCTGAAATGATCAAGGGGAGTATATGGGAGGGTTTGGAGGGAAACAGGGAAGGAAAAAATGATGGAACTATATTATAATCTCAACTTTTAAATTACTTTGAATGTGTTTGTTTGAAGGACAGAGATCTAAAGGAGTCATTTCCAGCCCCCACTCGAAGGGGATGCCCGTCCAGAAGCGGCGGAGGCGGCGGAGGCGGCAGCTCATCCCCAGTGTCTGGTCACCGCCTCTGCCTCACTGTGGACAATCTAGGCAGGAGTTAGTTTACAGTCAACAGAGTTCACTGTCACTAACAGAAAGGAAACAAGAATCATAAAAGGCACACTCACAAGTTAGCAGACAGAAACTTTTTGAAAAAACTCAAGAATCCTGACAAGCAAGGAAATTAAAAAAGTTTCCAAAATTCTACTGTCCCTGTTAATAAAATACTTAGATATGAATATTCAAGAAGCTCTGGAGTGTGACTTTTTCTTTCCTTAGGCACATTTCTATTTTCTATCTTTGTTAAATTCATTCATCCACTCACTCACTTATTTCTTGTGTGTATGCCTGCTTGTGTGTGAATGTGCACGTGCCATGGGGAGAGTGTGAAGGTCAGGAGAGAACTTGTGGGAGATCCTTCCCTCCTTTCACCATGTGAGACCCAGCATCAATCCAAGGTCAGGGTTGACAGCAAGACTCTACCCTCTGAGCCGTCTCTTCCAAACACCATTTATTTTTAAGAAACTCCAACTCAGCTTGATACTGTCTCATTCTGAAGTCCTTTATCCCTCAAAACCATGGATCTGGTTTCACATTAGTTGAACCCCTAAAAGATGAAGAGAACTCTTCTGCCTGGTGTGGGGACAACATGGAGCTGTATCAGCTTATGTATTCTGGGTTATTCTCGCCACAAAAAATAAACAAATGTAAATGGATGATTCAGTGTCAATCACTAGAAACTGCCATGAATGAGGACATTGGCAAAATAAGGCAATACATCCTGGGGACAGTTAAGATTAGGTTTCAGGGAGAGTGAGGAAAGTCCTTCCTGATCCTCACTATAGGTCTAGGATAGATAACAAATCAGGCTTATTTTGTAAGTTTAAAATTTTTCATTTTAATTTGTTGGCAGGGAGGTTTTGCATATATGTGTATGACATTTGCATGTGTCTGACAGTGGTATTTTGGGGGACAGGTACATGTGGAGGCCTGAGGTTGATATTGGGAATCATCTTTGACTGTTTTGTACTTTATTCCTGGAGGCAGGGTCTGTCAATCAGACCCAGAACTCACCCAGATGGCCAATCTTTCTAGGCAGCATGCTCTAGGAATCTACTGTCTCTATTTCCCAAGGCTACATTTATACACAGTCATCTGCACTCACAAAAGACTTTAAAATAAGCAAGAAAGTCAATGGAATAATTATATGTATAGGGATGTGTAAAACCATCACCAGTCTATAGGCATCTTGGTTGCTTCCGTTTCCTGGCTATTGTGAGTCCAGAAGCAATGAACATGGAAGGTTAGGTACCTCTGTAGTAGGATACAGAGACCTTTGTGTAGATCCCAGGAGTACTATACCTGAATGGGATATTTTTATTAAAGGCATCAAGAGATTGATCCTGCCAAGAATGGACCAATGCTTTCCACTCTGGGCTTCTAAACATCGTCATCGCCCTGAAATCCCCGGAGCTTGTCCATTTCATCCTCTGTTGATCCTCAGCCTCCTTCCTGTAGCTCATCTGGTGACCGTCACCACTTCTCCTTTTCTCTTCCTGGTTGAGAAGAGGTTGGAGGAGTGTGGAAAGGGAGTGGCAAAGGCAAACCGGGCTCCAGATTTCTGCACACTGTTGGACGGCAAGGACCATGGGCGACTCCAAGGAAGAAAGGGAGAATCATCTGTGCTCCCCGGGTGAGGCTGAGCTAGGACACAGGCAGCTCAGGGAAGAGTCAGGAGGGGCAGCTCAGGTCTCTGCCTGCCCAGGCTCTGACAGATGATACAACTGTTCAGTGACGGAGCTTGTGATCAGGAGCACCAGCTATTTCTAAGAAGCGTTGGACTAGACCCTGTTCATGGCTTCAAGAGTTTCTGAAGCAGACAAGGGTTTGCGAGGTACTGAGGATAGGACAGAACGGGGAGTCTTCAGTGCTGTGGGCAGGGAGACTGGGTTGTGGATCCCTGGGTTTGGGGATGGTTGGGACTGCAGGTCTATATCCTTTTGTCTGGGGAATGGAGGATGTGAAGTTGGAAAGCTGGGTCTTGAGGAGATGAACACTTGAGGACTTGACTCCTGGACACTGGAGAAGAGGAGGCTAGGCTCTAGCATCCTGAGTCCTAAGAATATTGATTCTGAAAACCTGGAATCCTGAGACCGGTCAAGGCAGAGCTGATGGTCTAGACTCTGCTGTCCTGAAGAAGTGAGGGCTGGAGGCTGTATTCCTGGCTCCTACAGGGAGGAGGTTGAGTATTTCATTCCTGGGGCTTAGAGAGGTGAAGAGTGAGTCTGACCTCCTGTGTCCTGAAGGAGTGGTGTCTACAAAGAGGAGCCCTGTTTAGGAGAGGTGCATACTGGGAAACAGGAATCCTCAATCCTGTGGGGTAAAGGAGGGTGCTGAATGCCCTATCATAAGAAGTAGAGCTGGGTCTGAAGTCCTGCTTCTGTGAAAGTGGCATCTGGGAACTGATCTCCTGGTTCATGGAGTGGTGGGCCTGAGGATCTTTGTTATTGGTGCCAGAGAGTTTGGAACAGGATGATTGAAAGGCAGGGTCCTGGGATAGCTGAGGCTGGAAACAGACTTCTGATGCTCATGTGGCAGATGATGGACAGGAAAACCCAGGCAGTGGGAGAATGATAACTGAGCGTCTACAATCCTGTGTTCAGGAACCAGAAGAGGGGCTAGGCTCTCCCTGGTTCAGAGTGTGGCAGGGACAAGGGCCTGCAGGACCACTCGACTTTCTTTCCTCAGGGCGTCAGGACTGCCGTCAGTCCATCATGATACTGCAGCTCATCTCCCTGGTGCTCTTCTCTGCTCTCTTCATGGCTCTCCTTGCCAAAGGTCAGGAAACTTCAAAGTTGGGGCTCCTTGGGAAAGGAATCTGAGGCTGTGTCAGGTGGGCAAGCATGGGCACAGGCTTGCTGGGGGTGTGGCAGGATGAGGGAGGCCATGGACCTCTGTCAGGTCCTGTGTCCTGACAGTGTTTGGGCAGGGTCTGGGACTCAGTGTTCTGGCCTGTGTAATGGGCTCCTGCAGTGACTGTGACCATCAACAGTGATATTATGGATCCAGCTCTGCACCAGGCACACAGCTGGTGCTTAATTGTTGCAAACCTCTTCTTGTAGTTGCTGTTCCTCGTGTGCAGACACAAAAATTGGAACAGATCCAGCAGCAGCTGACTCAGATCAATGCCTCGCTGGGTGAGGCTCCAGGGCCTGAGTTAGGGGGGACTGAGGGGTCATCAGTGGGTTCAGCATCTGCCTTCTGGGATGCCACTGAGGCAGGCAGGGTAGAGCACAGGGATTGTGGTCTGGGTTTTGGGAGCACTGTGTTGGTAGCTGAAATAGAAGCACAGCCCTGGGCTCTAAGGCCCAAGGCAGAGGGGAGAAGAGAACCCAGGCCCTGAGCTCATGGGTCCCCACTGCACTGTTCACTCTGCAGCTGGCCTGTGCCGGCCCTGCCCCTGGGACTGGGAGCTCTTCCAGGGAAGCTGCTACCTCTTCTCCCAGACTCAGGGGACCTGGGGAGCCTCGGCCACCTCCTGCCAGAAACTTGGAGGCCACCTGGTGATTATCAACAGTGTTGAAGAGCAGGTGAGTGGGCCACATCAATCCTACCACTTGTCCTAGGCATTGGTTTCCAGATGGGAGGCTGAGGGACATGGAGGAGATGCAGTCAGAGGGGCTTCCTGTAGGAGTAGGCACAATGGAGTAGGGAGGTCCTGTAGGAGAGGAACACATGAGAGGTGGGTTAGGTGTGAAGGGATTCAGAGGAGCTGTGAAACATCATGTGACCCTCTTGGGACACACCTCTGAGCTGAGATGTAAGTGAACACATTCCACACATGTGCACTTTGACCTGCACCCATGGCATGCATTCACCAGCCAGTCCACACAACTCGACTAACAGCACTAAGCTTGGGAGCAGAAAAGCTTGTATGGGCGGCTGGCTGGGCGTGGGTTATGGATGGATGATGGCATCATAGACCTTTCTCTGGACTGCTGCATCCATTCAGAGATTCATGGAATACTGGAATGTGAGGAAGAAACAGCGCTCCTGGATTGGCCTCAGTGACCACAGACTTGAAGATTTCTGGCAGTGGGTGGATGACACCCCTCTGCAGCTCAGGTGAGCTCTCGGAATCCATGGCTCAGCAGGGAGATGACCCTCACTCTAAACAAAGCCTGCCTGCACTGTTGAAAACACTCTGAGAATAATAATAACTACAGCCCCATATCACCTCGGCATTCTCACCCCCCAGCTTAAATCCAAAACCTAGAGCCCTCATTTTTGCTTTGCTGGGCTGATTCTCGTGGTGGTGAGGTCAGAGCCCACATTTTTCTAAAGCTGTTCCATGCACTCTTACTGCCTGGCTGGTTCTTGGTCTTTTACCATTGAAGATTCTGTCCAGGTCTTCTTTGCTGTTTATGGGGTGGGTCCTGGGTGTGATGGCTGTCTCTGATGACTGGTTATGTTTGCAGCTTTTGGAAAGAAGGGGAGCCCAACAATGATGGGGATGAGGACTGTGTGGAGCTATTCCCGGATAAGTGGAATGATAATAAATGCACTGAGCAAAACTTCTGGGTGTGTGAGCAGCCCTCAGCTCCCTGCCCTCATCACTGATGGTCTGTGCTTTCCCTAGGCATACAGGCAACTTGGGGGCACTCTGCTCTAGTTCCAGCCACCTTATTCATCCCCAGTGTCCCTGCTCTGAGTCCTTAGGGATTCCGAGATAGTCCCTGAGACACCCTCCCCTGCAACTCTTCCCTCTTCTATGGATTAGCTCACTTTCTCTTCCCAGCCCATGAAGACCTCAGTAGAGTCACACACACATGTGTCTGGGCTGTACCTCAATGACATGCACTTTGCTGAGCATGAGTGGGTCTCTGAGTTCCCTCCCCAGGACTAAAATAAAAGAATGAACAAAAATTCACATGGTATTGTAAAATAAAAAAAATATATAAAAATTCACATGTGGTCTGATGTGTTCCATTCAGTAGATTGTCTATTTCTGGACACTGTCTTCACTAATAAAGCTTTGAAATGTTTTATATTAACTAGGATATTAATGTCTACATTATCTTTTGGTTTTGAAGACTTTTTCTTTTCTTTTCTTTCTTTCTTTCTTTCTTTCTTTCTTTCTTTCTTTCTTTCTTTCTTTCTTTCTTTCTTTTTTTCTTTTTCTTTTTTTTTTGGTGACAAGAGTCTCATGTACCTTTGGCTGGCCTTGAACTCAATATGTATATCAGGCTAAACTTGAACTCATAACTCATAGAGGTCTACCTGCCTCTGCTTCCTGAGCATTGGGGTTAAAGGCATGCAGCACCACACCTGGAAGAATCAGGTTTTTTTGAGTTTGTATTGGGAATACACACCCACTGAGTGCATTCATAGTCATTCATAGTCACGTGGTCTCTTTCTCTTGGAGCCTCGGTCCTGGTCCCTCCTGCCACTGCAGGCCAGCGGAAGGAGGAAGAGTTCCACATAGCACCTTAGCCCCTGTCCTTCAGGAAAGCTGTCTCCAGAGCCTGCTGCCACCCCAGCCAGGAAGGCTCCTTTCCCTGCTGATGCCAAAGGTCAGCGCCCCCTAGTGTCTTGAAACCTAAGGGAGCTTTTAGCGTCTCAGAGGAAAATTCTCCCTCTGTCCTCTGGGTGGCGCCCGACATCATGGAAAGCGTTGTTGTGTTTGCTTTGCTGCCTCTGACCTCCTCAAGGATGCCTGGCTTCCCTCACTGTCCTCAGGACCAAAGAGAGTGCCTGTCCCTGGTCAGGGACCACTCCCCCTTTCTGCACTTGCGTGATTGTCTGTGCACCTCCCACCTCCCTGGTTCCCTGCACAGATTCCTCTCTTGCCTCACTGGGTATGAGCCTTTAATATACTCACTGGACTGTCTGTAATTGTTGACTTAAATGTTTTACTTTTGATTACTGCTGTGGCAGTGGATTCTTATGAGCCTTTTCTTTCTGGCCAGCCTCATGTGGCCTGTCACTTACTATGTAGTTTAGGATGGCCTTGAACTCCTGATCTCCCTGCCTCCATAATTCATATGGACAGACTTCCTGCCTGCCTTGTGTCTTTCCTTCCTTGCTTGCTTCCTTTCTTTACTGGTGTGTGTGTGTGTGTGTGTGTGTGTGTGTGTGTGTGTGTGTGTGTGTGTGTGTGTGTGTGTGTGTGTATGTCTCAGGTGCTTCATGAATTCCAGCTAAGCACTCTACCATGGAACCATGTTCCTGGCCCTGTGTGAAATTTCATCCCTTCCCTTTATTTTGAATTAATTAATTTACAATTTCACACATATTCTAGGCATGCTGACCACTCTCACCCACCACCTTCCTGCCACCCCACCTACCCTCCATACTCCCCACAAATCTCTATTTTTTTTTTTTTTAGTTAATTCTTAAGAAACCAAAACAAACAAACCCCAGAGTTCCCCAGGTACCTGGGCCCACAGCTCCCCCACCTGTCATTGCAGCAGCCTTGGCTAGCTTCGAGGAGCCTGCCTCCTTGCAGTGGGTTGTAATGTAGGCACAGCTAAGGTTGCTTCTGTTTTGTCTTGAAGGGGACTGTTTATTTCCTTCTAGCTCTTCTCTCCTTCTTTTTCCTTTTATCCTCCCCAGGAGCCATGGCTTTTGAAGAGGTCTCCTTTAATCA